GTGATGGCTTTTCACCCCACTATATGTGTCTGTGGTGAGTGTTGCGCACCGAAAATCCCAAGGCCATGTCCACCAAAAAAGGGTGAGCATGGTGATGGCTTTTCACCTCACTGTGTCTGTGGTGAGTACTGAGGTGGCGCGTGATGAGGGGCTTCTGGCAGAAGATGGGCTACCTACGTCTTTCATAACCACAGGTTATGAGCCCAAGGGTTGTTTTTCTTTTTGGGTTGAAGTCCACCCACGACCTGCTGTGAGAGCGGCGTGGTGTTGGTCCCCATGGAGCAGCGGCGCCGGCGGATGCGATCGCGGGAGGCTCACGAGCACCATGGAGATCGAGGAGGAGAACTGGAGATTGGTGCCCCTGATCGAAGGTTGGATCAACTGCTGTGTGTGAGCACAGGAGGTCGCAGCCAGCATCTTCGGCACCGAGTGGATGAACAAAGAGATGGCCATGGACGTCGACCAGGAGGTGATCAGGGCTCGGGCAGGGACCAGCGTCCTCTGCTGACTGGGCCTGGAGGGCCACAAGTCGGCTATGAGGGCAATGGGATGGCTGGCGGACTGTTCGAGCTGGACAGGTGGGCCTGGGGAGACTCCAGGACACTGTTCGACATGGTCTGGAAGCTCTACATGTTGCTCTTGGACGGGGGCCTACTTGATCCACTTCTTCGACCACACGATCAAGGAGTTCTCGGGGGGGCATCTTCCTGGAGATCGGCGCGGGCAAGGAAAGGAAAAGGAAAAAGCAAGGAAACGGAAAAGGAACAGGAAAGGGGCAGGGCCAAAGGAGCATAAACGCTGTATGAACTTGCCCACGCCCTGCGCTCGTGACTCTCCCCTCTTTCGCTCCCTCTCCTCCCTCTCTTGCGCAGGTGTCCAAAAAGTCCTCGAGCCTGTCGCTGGCGACGGTCCCGGCAGGCTTGAACTCTAACTCGACGGTGACGGTCGGTGTCGTGGGGATGGTATGCGTGCCACATTTGCAGTTTCGGTGTAAGTCCTATAGGTTCGGATGGAAGGACGGAGTCCCGTTGTCCGACGGGAACAGCTATATGAGATCCGATCATCATGGAGAGGAAGGTTGCAAATCTCCTGCGGACCAGACCTTTGTGGTGGAAGGAGTTGCCGCCTCAGATTGTTGGGGCGATTTGCTGCGTGGCTGCATGATGCGCATTACGAGAAAGCAAGTCTGGACTCTGACAGCAATGGAGCAATGAGCTGCGCGTTCTTGGGAAGATCTGTTGACGCACGGGGTTGAGCCGGCAATTCTGGACGAGGGCTTTGAAGTTGTTTGGAAGCATCTGGGCAAGGGCCCGAAGAAATCATTTTGCAAAAGCCTACCCGGGGCGTTCGTACTTGAAGCTTTGCCTCCTTGTCCTCCTCCTTTGCAGGACTCGGGTCTCGCGTGAGTGTCGTATGCTCTGACTGAGACGGGAATTGAGGGTAGTGTGGTTGTTCGGGGCCAAAGGATGAATTTATACTGCGTTTAAACTATCGTTGGACTTCCTATATAGACCGTTTGGAGCCCATATACGGTAACAATAGTAGCAATTTCATAATAGTAAGGCTAAGAGATCATATAAGAGATATTGTTTTTTCCAGAATTTGTGAGCATGTCGTTATGTGTTTTCCTTGGTCTCCCACACTGCAAGTCCGGAACTTCCCTTTTGTGCCCGTTTTTGGTAAGTTCTGGCCACACCTGAGCTAAGATTGAGCTGGAAGCCTTTTTGCTCTTCAATCTCTTCTATAAATTTTCATTGTTCGCACCATGCCGCTCAATGTGTGCCAGGCCGGCGACTACATGCGCGGCAGCAGCCGCGCAATCGGTTCGGTGTCGGCAGTCGGTTTGCGTATTTTTCTCGGCTCGGTATCGGCTCGATGCCGCGTAGTATTTGTCGTATTCGGTTCGGTTTTTCGATTTGCGGCGTTTGCGATCGGTTCGGCTCGGTGTGCATCGGTTTCGGCTTCGGCGCTACGATTTGTATTGTTGAAACATTCATGAGGATAGGGCTCTGATATAGGGTATGATAATGTATGATGATAGTTGAAAAGTTTTTTGCTGTTTCTTGAAGGTTGGGCATTGGGAGACTTGGGAGTGCCTATCGAGCAGCAGGCCTTTGCTGTTTCAAGTTTCCAAGTAGGGTCAGCAGCAAGGGCTTACTTATCTAGAGAAATTTCAACTTGCATGTTTACCCCAACAAAAATTACTGCAAACCTACTTCACAACAACCTGGAGGAGAGTATGCCCCATCACACCTCGTTTAATGTAAACTCTTGATATCTCTTGATTCAAAACACACCCATATTAAGAGGTATTGCCATCCATGTTGGGGGGTACCTAGTGGTACTTATGAATCAAGAGTCTAGATTAAGTGGAACCTGTGATTTCTGAAGAGAGATTCGGTGACATCCCTCAACCGAGGAGCCAAGCGCCTGCTCATCAGTTTGATCCTCTTGCTTCTTGGATGAGATGGGCGGATGGTGTATGCGGGAGGAAATATGGACTCCAGCCTGGTCCTCGTGGTTTGGTCATTTGCCACTCGTGGTTTGGTCGGTTATGCAGGTTAGATGTTGAATGACCCCTCCACAGGTTGGCTTCGACCAGCGACGTTAGAGGGAAAATCGTATAGAAAAAATTGTTGTTTCATGCCATGTTCATGATTTAATATATTATGTTCTCAAGGCATCTATCATCATCTATCTCCAGATTTATAACGGAATCAGACACGTTTTTCCTCCGGCCATCCAGTCGATGCCACAGCGCACCCGAATGGGAAGCCAGCGCGCGACCGCAACGTGGGTCTGCGGCCGCCTGACCGTCCTTCGATCCGAAGAGACGTTGTTTCGTTGCTCAAACCCCTGTGAGTTGGATGACCATGTTCAACCATCTCCTCTCACAGGGATTATGGCCGTGGATTACTGTTTTTTCGAACTATTTGGGGAAAACGCATGCGCTGTTCTTAGAGTTTTCACGGGAAAGATGGACTGCAAGTGGTCGGTCCGTTGCTGTGCGGGCATGGTTGGATGTCCAGAGTGGCTGGCGAACAGTTGTCTGTATACAAGTCATCAGTTGATGTCCAGATCACTTTTCCTGGCCAGACTATGCCAGACATGTTTGTACAATTTCATCACATTCCATCATGACGTCCATCATGACTTTATGTTGACAACTAAGGAACCTTTGCCTCAGTATCCTTTTGCTGAGCTCGCTTTCCGCCGTGGCGTGCTCAGCAGTTCATTTGAAGAATCGTAACAAGATGTAACAATTACCCTAGACTTCCAAGACCAGTAAAACAATGGTTGACCTGGTTTTTGTAGTGTAAAATCCTTAGTTGATTATGTTGTTGGAGTTGTTGTTGGGTATAGTTGTTGGGCATTCCTTGCGGGTGGTTCGTCCTCCCTCAAACAATCATGGAAGCTGAGCAGACTCCGGTCGTAGAGGAAAATGTGTCTTCCAGTGGCCTACGTATCACTTCCATTGTTTCAGGGAGTGTACCCAACATGGAGGTGGATGAAGGGTTGTTTTCGCCCTCGCAAGATGAGGCCTCCGCCCTCCTGCGGTTTCTCTGAGCGGTCAAATTCATCGTTGCCCTCCCGCCTGTCAGGCTGGGGCCTTTGCTGGAAATCTCTTGAAATTGGCATGTCCAAATCCGGCATGTACAGCAAGGAGTTGGGTTCAAGACACCTTCCCAACCAGAAATCGGCACAGTTTTTTGGAACAGTCTGATAATTTATTGAAATGCCCATAGCACAGCGTACCTACTATGCAGTAATCCTTTTGAACAACGCCAGATTGAAATCGGCCGACTACCCATGACACCAACCCACTTCCACCCTGCAACCAGCCGGAAGAAACAGAGCTGCGCAGCTCGTTCAGATCCAAAAAGAGTTGCGCGAGGCGTTCAGCGGCCACCGAGAAAACCGACATCTGAAAGAAGGTCGACACCAACTAGGTTGGAACACCAACTTCAGGCATTCCGGAGCCATGCCATCCACTTCCGTATCCGCTTATGTCCCTGTTTCCTGTTAAAGACGTGACCCTGTTTACAAGGTGGATAACAGACCCTTGGATAGATGATTCTAGTCCTTGGTTTGGAGGTTTTCCTTTTTCTGATCCCCGTGAACGAACCCGGCAGGTGATGAAGTTTGCCCGCTTTTTCCACGGGACCTGTTGCCTCCAAAAGCACACGTCCACGTCTCTGGAATGTCCACTCCCTCATACCAAATTTGCTACTAGTAGCAATGCCCATGTTACTAGTAGCGATGCCCTTGTTCTCTTTTAATGTTTGTTGACGCACTCCAAAACGGGATTTGGATGGGCTATCATTTTCTTGGGAGCAGTTTGGTGTGAAGAATTTGAGGATTTGTGGCATTTTGAGAACTGCTGTATGAACATTTGAATCGCAATTGGTTTGAAGATACTGTAAATTAATTACTTGAGTTCGGGTCTCCAAGAATGGTTTAACTAGACATTTGAGACAAGGTGTGAGCCAGTGTAGCTAAAATGCACCATGCAAATCAACAGGCCTTTCAGCTGATTTGGCTCAAAGCTTAGCTGATTGACTGAGAACGAAAGTATGACTGAACAGAGGCGTGAAGGGCGAGGGGAATTGTTTTCGTGAACTTCCTGCATGGATCAACTATCTATCTCAACTGTCCAATGTTATGGTAAATCATCCTTAAACATACATTGAATAGCGAACTTGCCAAGCACACCATGAGTATCCATGAGTTCTCATTCGCTTTCAGTCTTCCACTTGAGGATGACCATGACGCACCACCAAAGTAAAGATTGTCAGACATATATAAATGTTCACTATTGTTCACTTGTTTGCAGGGCTACCTGACCCGTTGTCATGTTTTATTGGGACTCTAGAAGTGGGTGTCTTGGTGACCTCGGTGACGGTCCATGACCGGGTATACCGTCAGCTGGTGACGGTCGGTGACCATGTCCGCCACTCTGAGCTCGATGCTCTTCGGATCGCATGCGAGTGACACGACGATGAGAGTTCTCACTCCCGACACGACCTGTCTGGGACTGCCATATATGACATATGATCATATTCGGGTGGTTCACTGGGGGTCAATGGGGCGGCAGTCCTATGGCAGTCCCATGTGTCGTGCCTGGGCATGGTGACATCGGACCATGACCATGTGGGTCTCTCAGTGGTTTTTTCTCACGGAAGATCAAGCGGTCGGAGTGCCAATCGGCCTGATTGGGCCCGGTCATGACTAATGGGACTGCCATATTTTGCCGATCAGGTGTGAAGGTTCACCAGGGGTCAATGTATGTAATTAACTGTGCCACTGGACCTGACTCCATGGTCTTGGTGGTCTTGAGATCGGGCCCACAGACATCCTGTGACAATCTCCGAAGAGGAGAACATTGAAGGAAGTAGATGCCATCCGAGAATCACAAGTCAACCACTGCCTGGTTGGTCGTTGGTTGCCCAGTTCTTCCAACGGCAGGACGCGATGTGTGGTGATTTGCACCCGTCATGATATGTGAGCTTTTTGCGGGGAGATGATGATGATTGACGAGGTTCCTACGTGACACGATGAGGATCTTTCAGAGGTGAAAGCAGCCATCAGCAAATCATCGGGCCATGAGGCGCTGCGGAATCAGCCCAAAAACGAGTCATCGCCACCGGTGCAGGAACTATGAGCAGCTGCAAGTGAAGCTCCGTGGTCTTGAGAACACCGTCGAGGATTTGGTGCAGCAGGTGCGCGCGCGCGATCGCCTGCCCGGCCTGGCGGTCGATGGACTTTCAGGTCGATGGGTGTGTATTTGAATAGGGAGACATAGGGAGACCCCTCAGTTTGACGTCTTGGGAAGAAAGAAAAACATACGAAATCCATTGGTTGGGTGGGCTCCCTCTTAAATCACACACCCATATATGGTGGCATGAGATGATATGAGATGGTGGATGTCCAATCTAGATATTGCTTTATGCTTTTTAAATTGTCTACAACGTGAGGTGTTTGTTGCATGTTTTGTCGTTGTTCCTGTTGTTGTCATGTTTTCTCTACCCACACCCTCGGTGCGTGCTGTATTGCAGTAGTTTCTGGCGACTGCACCCTGATCTGTCCTTCCGCAGTTCTTGGTGTAGCAAGATGCTCTTTCTGGGGAAGGGGATCTGGGAGTGTTGTCCATCATATACGTAGACCAAATGCGTGGACAGCTCAGTTCAATGCACGGTTTTACTTGCCACATGACCTCTCCCTCCCCAAGACAGAAATTCGAGTGGATCCTGGTAGAAACAGAATGTTGAGTGGATCACAAGTGAAGGAATCCAAAAAACATCACGTGTGGAAATTCCAGCTCATCCCAGCAATGCTGGAAACCGTTGGGATGAACTGGAACGCAGTTGGGGACGATGAACTCGGCGGCTCCTGACAACGCTCTCCGCGCCCGTCTTCTTTGCGTTAGGCGTCGAGCAACTTGCGGCTCCTTGGACGAACTGAGGTGGCAAAGGCAGTCAGGAGGTACACAAGGTCAGTCAGGAGCCTTTTCTACTTGGCTATGTCCAAAAGGAGGCTGAAATGGAGACCTAGAAGTGGCAGGTGATGACCTGGCAGTGAGAGTGCTGGTATAGTTTGTTGCATTTTGCTGCAGCTTCCAGCGTGTGATGAGCTCGAGACACACTGACCACCACCAACCGACGGGGGAACACAAGCCAGCATAGCCCATAGCCGTTCCAATGGACAAAAACATGGAACAGGAGGAACAGGACGCATGTCTTTCTCCAATGGTTGCTTTCTTGTGACCGCTTTCTGCGATGTTCTGTGTATTTAAAATAGAGCAGTGGATCATCCCTGGCATCCCAGGCTTCACGCGGGCAGAATTCTGGACAGTCCTCCCTCCCCTCGCACCGGTGTGTATCCCGCACCGGCTTTCCATATTTGCAGTTGTTCTCCCTTCACAGTTCTGTGAATCGGGGATCCCGCGTAACTATGTGGGATACATATGGAATAGACATGAAGAGACATAATATCATATCCCATTGTATATATTTTGTTGATATTGTTTGATGTATATATATAAAGCTGTCCCACTTTCCAAGACTCCTTGGAGAGAGAAACTAAAGCCATGGCAGCTAAGCCATAGCGTTGCATTTTTGAGGAAAGAGCTTCGAAGTGTTGAAGAGCGCTTGAAGCGGCAGATCGAGAGTAGCCAGAAGGACCAGGACGGATCGGGCGGTTCGGCCGATGTTTTTGTGGCAGATGTCCAGACTCTTTGGAAGTGAATCTCACATGTTCAAGATGAATTTCTCTAACATCAAGATCCTAGGTGCAAGATCCAGATTGAAGGGATCGCCTTGGAGATAGAGAGACCATCCCACAGGTCCTACCTGTGTCACACCTGTGAAGACCCACCAAGACTCCGTGGGCCACGTGGTTACGCTATGCAGCTCTAAAGCATGTTGGTTAAATATGGTTTTGTGCTGCGGTCTGAATCATGAGAACTGACACATGCCATTGGTTGGAATCTAAATAGTTGTTTGACTGTTGAGGAGTCAACAAAAATGCCACAAATTTTGGACCAGGGAGCCACATCAGCCAAAAAAACACAGGAATGATGTTAAGAAAGCAGTATACGAACCGAAGAACTGCAAAGCGCCTCGGTGCCAGCCCTATGGGTGGTGCGCTTTGACCCCGCGCCGGTCGGGTCGAGGCCGCGGAGACCTTCAACGTGAAGCGCGGCCTCTCGGAGCAGTTCACCGGTGAGGTGCGTGCCGCCGAGGCGCGGGTGGAGATGGAGTGCCGCTGGAGGTGAAACAGGAGGGGAAATGGTGGGATGTGACAGTGATCTGTGCTTGGGAATTGCCGTTGATATTTTTTGGGGGGAGGAGGATGGAGGATGGAAAAAGGAATATGCCAAGGTAGGTTGAGTGCCGGAAATGCAAGGAAGAGGCTTGAGAATCTTGAGAGGCTGTGAGCACGTTGATTGTTCGAGCGTCAATTAGCGTAATTATACAAATGATAGTACGATGCAATTACTTGTTTACTTTGTGCATGCTGTCGATGTGCAAAGCTGTTTTTGGTTACCGTGCCTTTATGTATTCTTCGTTTTGGGAATGGCTGACCCAACATGCGTGATTGGGGACCTTGGAACCTCGAACAGAACCGGAAGAGATGCGGAGTCTCGTGGTATTTGAGATGATCCCCACTGAGGATGTGCTCTATCCACAACAAGCCCTTTAGGAACCAGGTTATAACACGGCTATAACACAATCAGGCTATAACAAACCCTTCTGGTATCAGGCTATAACACGGATTCGATCCCACCGTTCTCGTGGTGCAAAAATGGTGGGTTCTCCACATGGGTGGTATTCTCCTGGTCTCCACCAGTCTCTACCTGTCTCCACCAGTCTGTTTATGCCATATATGCCTCACTCGCCTTCAAGGACCGTCTCACCCGACGTATGGACAGTGAGCGCCGGGACCACAAGGCGGCTTCGCGGCTTCGGCGGTGTTGGAGGCTGCTAACCTGTCCGAGGCTAGAAAAGGAGAGGTCAGGTCAGGTCAGTTGATATGATTTGATATGATTTGATATATATTATATGTGTTTGTTTCTGTGCGCGCCCTTGTTCGCGGGTGACATGACCACAGATTTCATAGACTCAGTCTCATCCCGAGTTTCGCCGACAGAAGTTCGTCGTTCGTCCAGTTCGTCCAGTTCCTCGCCTTCCG